TCAAGGAACAGTATAAAATCACTCTAGTGCCATTCTATCCAAGGCACTGATGTACCTTCATTTCAGAAAGCAATTAAGATCAAACTGTCTACTAGAGACTCAAGGAATCCCTCAAATGCCCTCTGGAAAACAAGCATCATCAAGCACTGGGGAAATGCAATCTGATAATCCCATCTGCAGAAAGAAGGGAACAACACCAGAAAGCTGCACCAGAGAATGGTTTAGCTATGACAACAAATGCAATGTCACCCACTTCAGATCATGTCACCTCTGCCCCAAGACAAAAAAACCAGATCCAATATGTAACAACCTATTTGAGTCAGGTCCTCAATAATTTGGGACAGGCCACAAACTCCCAAGCCACTTCTCCAGAAATTCTCCAGAACTATCAGTCCAGGGAAGATTTAATAGCCATCCTGGCAATGACATTAAGCAGATCAGGCAAAGAACCTGGCAGGCAGCAAGAGAGTCCAGCAGCAATCTCACCTGCTCCCTTATATTGCACCCAACTTTGCATTTCCAGGAAAGGAACGACACTGTGTTCAACCAGATCTGGTAATTGCCAATACAATGACACTCTCATGGGTGAGGAAGGACTTATTATAGGCCAACCTGACATTAAGTAGAAATAACCAAAGCCAAGCGGCACAATCTGGTAAGAATCTGGTAACCTGAAATTTGGGCTCAGAAGTAGGAAAGGGGGCTCAATGTAAGAAACAAAACCTCTCCTTCTTAGAAATGGCCCATTCCCTCTCTCAACACGTCTCCCTCTGCACAATGCCATCGAATGTAATTCCCACAAACACAATACATGCAAGTTTCTACAGTAAAATGCCTCAATCCAAACTGGTGTCCTCCAGATTTGTTTATATTTTTTATTTATAAGTCAACACTAATACAAAATAAATTCGGGACATTTCTTCAGACAATATTGAATTAGTTGATATTATAACTTCTAGTACTTCCCAAATTAGCAATCCAGAAATCTTTATGAACCAACGGTCCTAAGAAACAATAACAAACCAACTACAGTGAATGTATCCTCCTTTTAAGAGCAATAAACTTCATAGCTTGCTTTCCTGTTTCTACCATGTACTTGCCTACCTTCGATCTTCCCACCACTGATCTTGCTTTGAAGCTCCCCCCATTCTTGAGGCACCCCAAGAGTTCTCTTTCCTCTAAGCATTTGTTTTTTGTTAAAGGAAAAAGGGAAATACCTGCATATGGTGCCAGCACATTCATCACCTCAATTCGGTCAATATAGATCATGACACCACCACTGCAAGAAGATAAGGAGAAAGCTCTTCCTTCATTGCACATACATATTTGCATGCTTAAAACCTATCCAGTGTATGCTTTTCTGACAACATCTTTGGTAACAATACACTCAGTCCACAAAATCGGGATTATAAACTATGTTCCACCAGGATTATAAACTATGATCCTCCAACTTTTGCAGAGTTTTTGTTTATCTTTGGTTTTCAGAAGGAAAGCTGAAACCTCTAATCACATATCTCAGAACTGTTCAGTAAGAAGCTGCATTATAAAAATTACTTCCCTTTTTTCCATTTTTACCAAAGAAAAGATTTAAGACCTTCTATTCTTCCACCCTGTGACTCAACCACTTTTACAATACATCCTAGTGGTGTATTTCTCAACAAGGTCAGAAACACAATATGAACTATAAAACAACAACATACCTTGTCCCACATGGCACGTTTTTCACTTCATCTGTCTGCAATGTTGTCTGGAAAAATAAAGAAAACAAAATTGATCAGCAAAACAAAAATGTAACATTTACTAATCTAACAATTATTGGCATTTTGGAAACAAACTAAATTTCAGGAACATTCTGCTCCTTTTCTGAGAAACAAAAACCTTAGTCCCACAGAGTCACAAGTGCTCCAACCACCACCTCCAATATCTAAGCGGGAATTGCAGTTCATTTTTGGCATGAGATTGAGATAAAAAAACTGGGATGGTGGATTTTTTAAAAAAAAATGCATTAAATTTTTCCAAAAGAATTTAAAGTTAAAAAATTAGTGACTACTGACCTTCTTTTCACCAGATAATTACAACCTTCCTATAGGTAATCATCCAAATGGGGCATGGCCATTACTGCCATATGTTGTGACGGTTGTAAAACAGTCATCATGTAACCAAACCAATTTTAGGATCTTTTTCTGGTGATCCTAAGTTAAGCAAATAGCAATAGCACTTAGACTTATATACCACTTCACAGTGCTTTACAGTCCTCTATGCGGTTTACAGAGTCAGCCTATTGCCCCCAATTATTTGGGTCCTCATTTTACCCACCTCAGAAGGATGGAAGGCTGAGTCAACCTTAAGCCTGGTGAGATTTGAACTGCCAAACTGCTGACAGAAGTCAGTCAGCAGAAGTAGCCTGCAGTACTGCACTCTAACCACTGCGCCACCTCGATACCATGTGGCAGTCATAAAGCAAACACTGGCTGTAAAACTAATGCCACAGTCCTTACATGAACCGATGGTTCACTAAGGCTATGATTTTGCTGAAAACTGGCACTGTCGGTTTTTTTAGCAAAACCATTGCAAAACACAGTCATGTGGCCACAGGACATTGCATAAGGCCATAAATGAGGCTGTGTTGCCAAACTCCTGTCAGAACTTTGAATCAGGGTCATGAGTCCCTTTCTTTGAGTCAGCTGAAACTTCAAATAGTCACTAAGTAACTGATCATAAATCAAGATATCACTCCTTCCTCTTAGATGTTACACAAGTTCCTTCAACCTATTATTTAATTCAGGGAAACAGGGGAATTGCTAATAAGGAACTGGCTAAATTGCTTTTTTTTTTCCTTCGCTCTTTTCTTCAATCCTTTTTTATCTTCAAGCAACTAGCAAGATCAAGCACGCAAATGAGAGGTATAAGCTTATTTATAAGTATTTATCTGTACTGCAGCATTAAACATTACCTACTTCTAGCAACATATTAACCCATGGTGGATTTTTAGTAGTGGCAGAATACAACCGCAAGTATCAAAACATGAATTATATTCTGCCCTGACACTATCTGTATGAAAAGTCCCTTTATCATCAAGCTATTTTCCCTCCTTCTGTTGTTTCCCGTCCAAGACAGTTACACAAACCTGTACTGTTCTGTAAGTTGTGAGAATTGGGATCATGATGTGATAGCCTGGTCTGCTCAGGGTAGGGAGCAGTGCACCTCCCCTGTAATAAATTATATTAAAAAAGAAAGCAAATAAGCATGAACTGAGGTCAGAGAGGACAACTTTCTTATAAAACAAAAGCCACAGCAAGCATTTATTTCCTCTGTCCAACTCAATTCCCTAATACCAGACTCCAGGGATTCAGAACAGAATAACAGAGTTGCAAGGAATCTTTGAAGTCTTCCGGTCCAGCCCACTGATGAAGCAGGAGACCCTATACCATTTCAGACACGTGGCTGTCCAGTTTCTTTTTAAAAGCCTCCAGTGATGAAGCACCCACAACTTTTGGTAGCAAGCTATTCACTGGTTTATTGACAGCTGAAAATAAAGGAGCAAATTTACAGGCACACAATATATACAAGTTGCCGTGTGCATTTAGCCAACTAAAGTCTGGCTCTAGGTCTCTTCAGGAGTAGACCAAAAACAAGAGATAAGAGTGTCAATGTTGTTTCACACCTTTTTTAGGAACAAAACAGGACAAGCCGCCCTTTATTTCTGAGATAAGTGTTGCTGGGTGGAGCCCTGTTTGTTCTAAGACAGTGTTTCCCAACCTTAGCCATTTTAAGGTGTGTGAACTACAACCTCCAGAACAAACAAACTCCGCACATAGTGGTTAAGATTAGGAAAATACTTACTTAGGACAACTGTTTTTTTTTTCATCTGGGACCATGCCCAGGTATTTGAGATCGCAACGCTGCATTTTGGGTTCATGCATCATGCTAAGTTACGAGTTTTGTTAACCGTGCATCAACAAGGCTGTGAACCCAACCAATTGAAGCTGCTTAAAAAGTGCAATTAAGCAAACCCGGACCAAGCATCACTACACACCCTGCCTCTGAATCACCACAGCAAGGTTGGTATCAACACCACCTGGAGAACTAAAGTCAGGGGGTGGGGGTGGGGATCACTTCTGGTTGCTCAGAAAAAAGGCTCAAATCAGGACAGATGGTTGAGGACAAGTAGTCCTTGACTTACAACAGTTCATTTACTGACCGTTTAAAGTTACAACGGCACTGAAAAAAGTAACTTGTGACCATTTTTCACACTAATTATCATGGCAGCATCCCCGTGGTCACCTGACTTAAATTTGGATGCTTGACAACTGCTTCATATTTATGACAGTTGCAGTGCCCCAGGGTTATGTCATCCCCTTTTGTGACCTTCCAACAAGCAAAGATTATGGAGAAGCCAGATTCACTGAACAACTGGGTAACTAATTTAAAAACTTCAGTGATTCACTTAACAAAATGTGGCAAGAAAAGTTGTTAAAAGGGCGGGGGGGACACAACTCACTTAACACATTTCTCACTGAGCAACATAAATCCTGGGATCAATTGTGGTCGTAAGTTGAGGACTGCCTGTATTGCCAGAGCCAGGCTGGCACCACGCTTTCTACTCAGGAGTTTCTATCCTCTGCCCGGGGAAGGAAGGCGGCGTCTCAGGATTAAGAAGAGAGCCACCAGAGGGATCCCGTCGCCCGGACTCACCTGTAGTAGACAGCCAGGTGTCCCTCCTCCACCTTGTGGACCGAGACCCAGAGCAGCAGCGACAGCAACAGGCCAGCCGTCAGCGCTACTGTCACTGCCGGTCCGCGTCTCCGGCTCCTGGTCGGAATCTCGCCGCCGCTTCCAGGCATCCTGCCGCCGCTCACACCCCTCAAGCAGCCCCGCTGCCACCGCCGCCGCCACCACAACGTCGCCGCCTCTCCTGCTGCTGCATGTAACAAAACGGAACGGACTCTCCCCGCCTCCTTCGCGTTTCCGGCGGAGCACTTTGCCTGTTGCACGGCGCCGAGAAGGCGGCCGGAAATGCTTGTGAGGTGCCGCTGTTGTGATGGCGCCGGAGAAGCCTTTGCGCCTGTGAGGAAAAAGGGCGAGGGGGAAAAAGGGCTGGCCAAAGAAGTCCCTTTTCTTTATTAAAACGAGGTTGCGGGGGATCTCGGCAGGATAAAAATCAAGCTCCTGGTCTTAATGAGACTGTTAAAGACAGCAAAGGACTGGAAGGGGCGTAGTTTAAAAGCAGCGTTTCTGAGCTCAAGATCAAAAGATCCCAGGCTAGGTCTCCGGGACTCTCGAAAGCCGACTTTAAAATCTTGGCAGCTGGTGCTGCAAAAAAAACATGGCAATTGAGTGGACGAATGATGTGATTCTGGAGTGTAATAGCCACCCCTGACATCTCTCTTCATTTGAAGTGAATTAAAGATGGAGGAGCCCACACTTTGCTTGGGCTCTGGCTGCCTGGGGAATGGAGATGTTTCCTGAGTTCTCTGGCTCACGTCACTACATTTCTTTAAAATAGTCACTTAAGAACCCTTTTGTCAGTAATTTTGTAGATTATTTTATTCCTCAGGGTGCCCTGCCTAGTTTGTTGATTTAGGGGCTTTTTCTCTGTTTGAGACATGCTCGTTTCTTTCCTTAGGTTGGCCTGTGGAGATGTAGAAGGAAAATTTGGAGCTTTATATTCCAGAGTTCAAGCTGTTCAGAAGAAAAGTGGAGCATTTGATGTAAGTAGGATAGGATGACATCTCCTACCACTGAAACTTCAGAATGGAACATACTTCAGTCTTATATAGTCCTTCCAGTCTGTCTCAGTACCTGCCAAGTGAGGAATCAATACATTATGTCGGCACTGGATTCTCTTTTTCCAAACAATCACCAATTTGTTTATTCCTCCTTCTAAAAAATGTGATAAACTGCACAGAGGTGGAACACTAACAAAATTATACCAGCAGAATGCATTATGGAGAAAATACACAAATAAAAGTCTGTTAAAGCTGCCCTTATTGAGTTAAATGGAAATTCTCAGTCATGCAGGTCATGTTGTACCAAAGGTGTTTTTTCAAGGGGCAACTGGACTTTCTGGTTTTTCAGTTGAAGATGTTTCGCTTCTCATCCAAGAAGCTTCTCACTGAATAAGCTGCTTGGATGAGAAGTGAAACATTTTCAAAAGAAAAACCATAAAGTCCAATTGTCTCTTGAAAAAGCCCTTTGGGACTACCCTTGTTGAATTCATCACTTTTGTTTCTGCTTTGAAAGAATATTTCATTATGTCACCTCAAAATTTATTCGTTTTTCTACTTCTAATTATTTCATCCCAAAAAATTGTTGGCATTTTGTCCGTATAGATTTTTCAAGTCACTACCTTAGCTGAACTCTTGATCTTAAAATTAGCTTATTATGCCTCTTTAGCTGAAATTGCTAAGAAGTAACATTTTTATATATTTCCTGAAGGGGGAAATATTGAAATAAGTAAATATGCACTGCAGCTCTTTTCTTTTTTAAAATTTAACTGATTGATAAACAACTACTATACTTAAATGGCCTTGCTGAAATAGCTAGGAAGGCCATTGTATCATAGATTGAACAGGGAGCACTTTAAAGATGAGGTAGTTTCATCTTGACACATCTCCTTTGGTTATTGTTGTGGTTCGCCGGCAGCAGGTGCGAATGTCTGAGGTCTCAGAGAGCGAGGACTCGGATGAGGGGCTTGCATGTGATTCAGGGATGGGGCCAGGACTATCAGAGTGGAGTGCTGCCTTCCGAACTTGCAAAGGCTAGTAGCAGTGATGCAGAGGGCCCCGAGGAGCCTGTGCCCAGTACACGTGCATGCAGGGCTGCTCGAAGAAAAGAGCAGCTGCAGCAGCACAGGCGACTCTGGAGTAAGGCTGCAAGGTAATGGCCCCTCCCTTAAAGGATAAAAGGCAGCCCTCAGAGGTGGGATTCTTTGCAGGAAGCAAAGAAGTTCTTGCACTTCAAGTGTTGTGGAAGTTTGGACTATCCAGGTTTGTGATTGGAGACTTTTGGTTTTGATTATTTCCTTGCAATTTAATCTACTGTTCTTGGCAGCCTTGCACAGCCTTGGCAAGGCTTGTTCTTATCTGAGACAATTAGTTTTTAATAGCGTTTTACTGTGAATGAACAGAATTCACAGAGAAACATTAAAAAGGTTTTGCTTTTATCTCTTTGGTGTTTGTTTGCTTTGAACAAGGCTTGAGTCAGAACAGTTATTCCAATCAGTGTTATAACAATTGTTTGAAATGCTCTTACAGTTCCTTGTGTGTGTGGGAAACTTCTTTGGCTCTGCTCAAGATTCAGAATGGAAAGATTATCAAACAGGAGCAAAAAAAGGTAAGGAAAGTGACTGTTCAGCAAGACCTGTTGGTCTTTGCAACTGACAGTGTATAGTAGAATCTTTTTCACAAACCTGTCACTGCAGCTTAGACCTCATTTTTATTTACTATGGCTAGGCTGTGCTGCTTGAGGAAATTGGCTTGCTGACTTTTCTATAACAAATGAAAATTCTTCACCATAAGTTTAACAAGGAGAAATATTGGTATTTGTATACATACCAAAGCCAGTTCAGATAAATTCTCTTAACATTTCTATAAGGTACTTTGTCCCACCTTTTTGAACCAAAGTATTTCTCTACTATTCCCTACTGCCACTGATATTTTGATCACAAATTAAATGTGCATACTACTGATTTCCATATCAAAATAAGCATTAATGTAACATGTATCTATCATTCTTCATGTATAACTACAATTTTTGTTATTAATCTATTTGTTCAGAAGCTCATAGAACATATACAACTTCAAAAGTATAAATGTTTCAATTTAATTCAGGCAAAATTGTGACTGTCAGATACACAGAGAAATAGAACAGCAGGTGGCTACACCTGCTAGAAATGAAACATCAGTTGGCTTCTGTGCCCCAGGAAAAATAGAGAAAAATCTTTTAAAACAGAAGCCATATAAGTTTGTACTGAATAGAATTATACAGTAGTCATATATTTTTGTTGTATTACTGTCCAAAAATACAGAGATAATGCTTTTAAGTAGCAGATAACAAGGAAAATCCTCACTATCATTTGCAAGAAGCACAAAGATTCTTCCTCAGCATATACTGGAATGGCAAGGAATTTCTTAAATTTAACATTAATGTCATGTGTAAAATAAAACTTTGAATTAAAATATTTTGCTTATGCTAAAGATGCATTTCTGTTGGCTTTCCCCCCTTTAATTGTACTTTTGGGGAGGGGGGGTCCTTCCTTAGCTCCTATACAGACATATGTGTTGGGTGCCAATAATGATGAAACCGTGCATTGTTTTCCTGATGTCAGCGGATGTGAACTAGCTGAGAACATCACTTATCTAGGTAACATGGAAGTTTTATTTTTATGAGATAATTTTAAATTGGAATTTCTGCCTTCTCCAAGATTCTCATATAAGCTTCTTGTGATGTAGGTATTTGCTAGTCATAGCTGAGCACTGGCTGATATGATTCCAGAGATCAAAGGGCTTCTTAAGCCCCTAGGAGGCAAGAAAGAGCTGAGTGCTGACCAACTCCCTCTTTGTTTAGATGATGTCCTTTTTTAGAATGTGAATTTTCAGAGGTATCCACAATTGTTTCCCTATTCCCTCCAAGCAGGTTGATATATCTATTCATTGTAGTTCTGTCTAGATTTTATTTGCAGTTTGGAAAAGTGCTGGCATCTGCAGGAAAGAAAAGACATTTTGTTTTATTTATTTAGTCATTCATCTTTTTACACTGCCCAGTGAAGAACAAAATATACAAATTAATATTAATATTGTTAATACTACAAAAAGTTTAAAATTATAAAAGGCACAAACAGAATAAAAAGATTAGGCAGGGAGGAACTGTTAATTACCCAGGATCCATCTCAATATTTGCCAGTTCCTCCCGGGTCCCCAAGCCTGCTGATAACAGCCAGGTCTGGAGGGACCTTCAGAAAGCTAAAAGGTATGAGGCCAGCCTTACTTCAGAGAGAGACACATTCTATAATGTGGGAGCCACAGCAAAAGAGGCTCACCACATGAAATCGGATCCACAACAGGTCCTCTCTGCTGGATCTGGTGGAATAGACAGATGTAATCCGAGAGAAGTAGTGCTTCCAACTGCTTCAGCTCCAAGCCATGTAGGTCTTTAAAGGTCAAAAACAGTACCTTTAATTCAGTGTGGAAACAAATTGGTAATCAATGCAGCTCACAAAACAAATGTAACCTTTTTGTGTGTTTCCCTGTTTGACTAGATTCCCTTTCTTTAGTTCAGTATGGAGATGGAAGTAAGGCTTAGGTTCATCTAATCTTGCCACTCCAATTCATTCTTCAGAAGAAAAAATGTGATACTTCTTCAATCTTTTCTCTGTTTGGCTTTTTATGTATGCCAGACTGTCACTGAATTTACATAGTATGCTAAGCCAAAACATACATTGAAAAATTTGTGAATCACTGACACATTCTCATGTGTCTTCTATAAAGACTGGGCAAGGGGCAGTTAATAATAACTTTCAGCACAAAACAGAGATATTCCTCTATCAATTAAAATACCGTGCATAGTTTGGGACTAGGTATTCCTTAGTATGTTAAAGCATGTTTCCTACAAATTCTCTGGCCTGAATCATGTTCCATTATATGCATAGGACGCAAAGGTGTCTTCAGTGGAGCTTCAGGACTTCAGATTGCTTATCTCAGTGGAGTTGAATCCACAGAAGATCCAGCTCCTGCACACTGTTTTAGTACTAAGGATGTGATTGATCTCAAAACTTCCTTACAATCCACTTCAAAATTCAAAGGTGTTGACATCTTGCTCACCTCTTGTTGGCCCAAGGGGGTAGAGACCTTTGGCAACAGCCCAGTAAGTAGTACATTGGTAACGGAAAGGAATTGTATGATAGGACTTATGTCTTCCACAAAGACTCATAGTCTGCAGCTGGAATGTACCAGATTGGCAGTGAGTATAACTGTGATCTTTAACATGAACCTAGTAGGAAAAGCTGACTAAACCATAAAGAATGAAACAATAAAAATATTAATAATTATAACCCATGGTAAAATAGAAGAATATTAATGCAAATTTGGCACAAGAACATAGGAAAACTACTACTGTTCTCACAGGAATTTTTAAAGAAAGGTTTTCCTGATGTTGTTTAGAAGATCTGGCTCTTCACCTAGGCTTTGGCAAGGAAGAGTGAGACTCCTCAGTACATTGTGCTTGCATTCTTATTATTAGTAGCTTTTAATTCCATCTATTTTTTTTCTTCCTCTCCCCCCTGCCCGTGTGTGTGTGTGTGTGTGTGTGTGTGTCTGTGCATGCGTGTGTGAGAGAGAAAAAATAAAGCAACCAGCATATGGAATTCTCTCACCTTGTCTTTTCCTCACAATAGCCCTGTGGACTAAGGGAGAGTGACTGACCAAAAGTCACCCAACTGGCTTTTTTGCCTAAGGGAACATGGAACTTACAGCCTCCTGATTTCTAGGATAGCATCTTAATCACTACATCAAACTGGCTTTATCGTTTGTATGAACTGAATATAATTTCTTTGATTGATTGTTGTGAGCCACCCAGAGTCAGGCAGGAAACCAGTTTAATAAACTGTTGTTATTTGATTTAGACCATGGAAGCACTACTGATATATTTTCTATATATAAATCCACTTAAATAATTAAATATTTGTGTGTGACTTTTTTTTTTTTACAGGGAGATGTGAACTCTATGAAATGTGGTTCAGGGTTAGTTTCTTTACTGGCTGCAAGTTTAAAGCCCAGATACCATTTTGCTGGTCTTCAGAAAATCAATTATGAAAGACTTCCTTATAGGTATGTGAATCCTTGAGTAATAACTGCTGTACACAGTAAACCCATTTTTAAAACTGCAGCAAAGTTGTCTCAGTACATTTGTTAATGAAGTAATTTGCATAAGTATAAAGACTACAAAAAATTAATTTAGTTTACTTTACTTTATTGTCATTGCACCTCATACAATGAAATTAAATGCCATCTTCAGTGTACATTATAACTATAAAAATAAAACAGAAATAGATTCTTTGCATTCTATACAGTTGATTTGAAAACCCCTGATAAACTATAGATAAACTAGATCAAAACAGAGCCCACCATATATTCTGTTCCTACAGTGACTACAAGCAGTCCTTGATTTACAATCCCAATTGGGACCAGAATTTCCCTTGCTAAGCAAGGTGGTTGTTAAGTGACTTACACCTGATTTTATGACTATGTTTGTCACAAATTTTAAGCAAATTACTGCAAGCGAATTGTTAAGTGAATTATGCAGTCAATAAATGAACCTGGCTTTCCCCATTCACTTTGCTTGTCGGAATCCAGCTGGCAAATTCTCAAATGGCAATCACATGACCCCAAGTTGCTACAGATGTCATAAATGCATGCCAAGTGCCTAAATTTTGATTACATGACTGTGAGAATGCTGTAAGTGCAAGGACCTGTCATAAGTCACTTTTTCAACTTCACATGGTCATTAAATGAATGGTTGTAAGTTGAAGAATGCCTGTAATTATAGAAAACCCACAAGCAAGATCAAGACATGCCAACACCTTTCAGTCGTAACCCCCAAAATTGCCATGTGAAAGCATGCTGCCTGTGATATTGGAGATAATACATAGTCATTAAATAGTAACTGTTTATATAGTCTTGCCCTACATTCTTAAGAGAGAAGTAATTTCTTTTCATAAACAACTTTTTATGGAATTAGTTAAAACTACTTGGACAATTTTATGTGGAATTCGTGTTGCACATAAACACATTATACAGACTGAAGTTTCCAAAAACAAATAGATTTTTTTTTTAAAAAGAGTTATTGCCTCTCTTTTCTTCAAAGCAATTGAATATCTTTCAGATCAGGGGGTTATTTATAAATCTGCAAAATTCTTTCTATAGAAACCATGCTATTCTTCAAGAAACTGCGCAACATGTCAGCAGATTCATCGCCCTGGCCGATGTTGGCAACACTGATAAAAAAAAGGTGAACAGAGACTTTTTTGCCTTTTCATACCTGAACTAAACAGATAAATAACCAGGTTCTATCCAAGCTGATTATATTTCTTTTCCTAAGCAACATAATTTAATTTTGGTCAAGAAATTTGACTACAGTAATACTTCCATTTATAAGTTGCTTTAGATTTGATGTTTTGCATTGAAGGATGAGATCCCTCCAATTGTTAATTTCCTTTTTTAAATTACTTTATTGGCCTTCACATCTTTTGTCTCACAGATCACAAAGCCCATCGGTTTATGCAGGACTATCCAATATATTAGAGCTTCTGAACATATTGGGATTATAGCCAGTCTCAAAAAGCTGTATGCTTGGCATGGCCAGTAGGCACATTCCGTACCAGTCCCTCCTTTGCTATACCCAGCCTCCCTTTAGGCCTCTTTTGCAGGTCTCCTATAGTCTTTCCTAGTCTCTCTTGTGATCTATCAGTTGCCTCTGCTACTTTGCTACTTCCCTCATTTTGCTGTGAGGTGGCTTGCCAATTGCAGTGGCCTGACTCATGAAATATGCTAAGCCAAAACCAAATTGACCGTATATGCCTTATGGCAGCGTGCAAATAAGTACAGCTATTTCAGTTGGAACAATGTGCTGCATATACAGGCTGGCCCTTTCCTTTTGACATTCATGTATGTGTGTCTACATCTCTTGTAACTTTGTTATAACATACAATTTTCGTTGTTTGGATGAGAAAATGCATACTTGGATCCTCTATTCTTAGAAAGTGCTTAAATATTAAACAGTACCCTGCAGGTTTTCTGCTGTTGCTCTATTCCTTTTTTGTGATTTCTTTCTCTCAGTATCTCTACGCATTTAGCATTCTTCCAATGAATTCAATGGATCCTGCAGAACTCATCAAGCAGCCCCAAGACACCACCGAGAACCCGTACCGAAAGCCTGGGGATGGAGAAAGTTTTGCATATCAGTTACCAGATGCAAAGGTAGAGGGATTCAGCATTCATATTTTCCAATCTCTTAGGCGTGCTGAACTTGTAACATAGTTTTGGATGGTCTAGGATAGCTACACACTGCCACTGCCTCTGATGAATGGGTTCCGGTTCTGGTATCATCCTCTTAAATAGAAGTGTACAACTTTCTTTAATGAGAAGGCCAATTCTACTGGATATTTGTAGGACCATGTGACATTTGGAGTAGATTTATGGCTGTGGATCCATCAGTACAAACTAGACACACTTTCCCATTTCCTTACCTCTTCTACATAGTACTGATTTTCCCTCCTTTTTTGTTAGTTAGTTGATTCCAGATTTCCCTAAAAATTCTGGGTTTATAACATTCCTTAGAAATAAAAAGACTACACTTGTTCTTTTTTTATTTCATACACATGCATGCATATGTTTATTAGGGACTCCTCATGTTTCAGCTCTTCAAAAAGCTTTAATCCAGATGTGTAACATGTCAAGCTGAAATACACATGAAAACAAATCTTTTCTGGATTTGCCATCTGCCTTAACAGACAATTTTGCTTTGCTCCCAAAGGAGGAATCTGCTACCCAATTTTTTTTCGATTTAAGCAACAAGCCTAAAGGAAAGAAACGACCTATGAAAGGAGAAGAGAGACGTCCACCTAAACGATCACCCTTCAAGCCCCGTGAGTACCAGGCTCGTTTATCTTTTAAATTTTGAGCAGGAAAGAGCACAGGGCTACACCAAGAGCTTTGGCCTAAACCATGGTTGGCTACATAGCTTTCATTTTTATAAATTAGTGGAGGGATCACAGTTGTTTACTTCTAAGAGTAGAATATTTTGTTATTTGTTTTGAAACTGCTCAGGGGGACCAGCAGATTTAATACTTTCACACAAAACAACATAAGGTGCTTGGGAAAGTATTGATAAAAGACTTTGATTTTAATGGTCTTATCATTGATCCAAACAAATTGAGACAAGCTCTTGGCTGTATGTTGAGAGCTATTATCTAGCAGAACATGCATTAAAGCATTTTCCTTAATGGTGACAAAATAGAGAAAGGAGGGAAAGAGACCCGTTTGACCCATCTTAGCCTTCAAAGACCTCTAAAGATCTCCTGTTAAAGATTTAATAGGAGTCATTGGTGATGTCCTGTTTTAAGTCACTGCTGGGTTTCTGATACCTATTTCCTTCTCTGATTTTAAAGCATTGCCGACAGCTGCCTGCTGGTTTTGCCTTGCCAGCCCAGATGTTGAGAAGCATTTAGTGGTGACCATTGGCACTCATGCAAGTATTTATTTTCCAATATCTGTACTTTAATGATGAGAAGACTGAATTATATACAGTATAATACAAGATACTGAAAATATACAGTAGATTTGGACTTTGTTGGTGACCTAGATAGGACATCAGTGGCAGCTCTTTCGAATATTGATCATCAGACAGATGTAAAGCAGAGTATTTGTTTTTCATTCCTAAACGTTATTCATAATACATGTTGCTGTCACTGTTAAACAGATGTTAACAATCTCTTTTTTCCCCCCACAATTCTTTGGTTATCTTTTGGCAGCATCCTGCACAATCTTCATTGCACTTAGTGATAATCTGTTTTCTCTCTGTTCTTTTGTCAATAAAGTGGCATAAAAACTTCTAATGATGACTTTTAAATAGTTTTTTCTGACTGTAATAGTTCTTTCTTTGTTAGTGGAAAGATTTGGACAGTGTAACAGAATGTCAATATTGTTCCTGTCGGTTTAACATGAATAACACAGAGCAAGAGATTGGCTATGGAGTGCTAATAATTCTCACTACTGTTTCTTGGGTTCTTTTTCTAGTGTTATCTTGCCCTTGCCAAAGGGGGTTTGTCCCCTGATCATGTCCTTATTTTGCCCATTGGACATTATCAGTCAATAGTTGAGCTTGCTTCAGAAGCAGTGGAGGAATTTGAACAGTACAAGACCGCGCTGAAAAAATTCTTCAAAGCCCAAGGGAAAAGGTGTGTGATTTATGAACGAAATTATAGGAGTCAACACCTCCAGCTCCAGGTGAGGCACTTCTGTTGTTGCAGGATGTTTTAAATTTAATTCTAGTGAAAATGTCTGAATATTTGGGGTATGATTTGATGGTTTTAACAGCACTAAGAATCATGGAATATCCTTCCTTTCTTCAGTATAAACATTACCTGTGTATTCTCTTCATAGAAAGTGTTCTGCTTATACCACCATGTTTTTCTAGTGATATATTGTGGTAGTTTTTATTTGGCTGACCAGAAACAGTATCTGAACAGCATCTGGCTACCACAGAGAGTATAAGTGAGGCAAGGAAACAGAGGACTCCAGAAGAAAAACAAGTCCTCAGTACTTCATCTCCCACAGCCGATTTCTTTCACATTCATAAGTTTAAGACTGCAAGAGAGCCATTTGTCTTTCATCATGATGATAACCTTTGCTGAGGGCCTTCTTTGGTCCCAATGATGACGCTCTTAAGTTGCCTTGAATATTGCTTTTTTATCTTCCTTTTTTCATTCCTAAAAGCTGTGAAATATTCTTCTTCTAGGTTGTTCCTATACCCCAGGCCTGTTGTGTTACTGAAGACATTAAGGAAGCCTTCATAAGTCAAGCAGAGGAACGTCATATTGAGTTGTTAGAAATACCAGAACATTCAGCTCTCAAACAAGTAAGAGTCAAGCCTTGCTTCCTTTGTTTATATCAGAGAGTTGTTGCAAGGAATTCTGGGAATGCAAGACTTGGATCTCAGCCCAGCAGGTTCTTTTATGGGCACGTTTCTTTTATTTCTAAGCAGATGGCAGGATACTCAGTCAGCAGTTCCAGTGTGTATTTGTATTACATTACATACTGTCAGTGAGTGTTTCCCGAATCAGGCTTCCTCAGTCTGAGCACTTTCTAGCAGCAGGGTCCTCCGTTCCGAATGTTCAGCCACAGCTATTGCCACTGGCTGGTAATTCTTGCAGTTAAACTATATACATCTAAAGAATCCCAAATTAAAGATATCCCTTTCACAACACCCCTGGCACATGTCCTTCTGTAATTTGACAAACCTTTTTTCTCTCACAAAGAGCATCTCTGCCAGTATATTACATCTAAATGTACCCAGAATAATAAAAAATTACCAGCATCACTTTAGTTCCTAAATACTTTAGCACGTATTTGTTGTACTTGTCAAAAGTGGCCTGCTTAAAAAGACCTATGAGTTCACAAAAAGGATTACAGCCTTAATCCAGTTTTGTCACAACCTGAATGATGTGAATGAAAAATTGCTGACTGAGCAAAAAACCAGTTGCACCGCAACTTTGGCACTTGCTTTCGTTTTTCTGACAGCCTGGTAAACATGTTTCAGAGATCATGTGTAATGATGATGATGATGATTATCATCATCATCATCATCCACGCAGACTCTTCTTTGGAAGGGAATGGACAAAATATTGCTACATGGAAATGCTTCTTGTCTTTCAGATAACTCAGCCAGGGACACCGTATTTTTATGTTGAGCTTGATAATGGAGAGAAACTCTTCCATCGTATTAGCAAAAACTTTCCCTTGCAGTTTGGAAGGTTAGTTTATTCTACTTGTCACTGGCACATTTAATCTCTCTATTTTTTTAAGTGTGATTTGAATGGCTACCTAAGTCACTTGATTGACTCTGGGCAGCTTACATTTGGATAGAAACATAAAAATAGGAAATAAAAGCAAAACACAATAAACATCCAGAAACAGAAAAAGGAATAACAAAAAGAATAACCAAGACCAACTATTACATAAACCAGGGGTCCCCAACTACCGGGCCACGGACCGGTACCGGTCCGTGGAACATTTCCTACCGGGCCGCCGGTTTGCTGGGTGCCGCCATCTTGTTTGATGAGAAAGTGCTTCCGGGTGAGCTTTTCCGGTTGGAAAGCGGCGTTTGGGTCCTGAAGGAATCCTCGCGCCTTAGTTTCATCGAAGGGGGGGGCTTCAAACGAAACTAAGGCGCAAGGATTCTTTCAGCGCCCAAGGCAAGGAGAGCCGAGTGACCGTCCCAAAGCCGTCCCGAAGTGAAGCCCATCGACAAAGGTACAAAAGAGGAGTTGAAGGTGGCGGGGAGAAGTGGGGGACGGCTGGCTGGCCGGTCGCTCGCCTTGCCTTGTCATGCGTGCTGATGCCGGTACCAGGCCGCGGATCATTTTGTGATCCCGGTACCAGGCCGTGGCACAAAAAAGGTTGGGGACCACTGACATAGACCGTTCAGAAATCTTTTGTTCTGGACTTTGCCCATCAAATGGAAAGAAAGAGTGTTGTAAAGACACGCTATAGCTTCATAGTTGCTAACCCTGTCTTTCTTCTCAGTTGGGCTTGCTTCACCATTTTTTTCCTTTGGCATCTGTTCCTCTTTGTTTCATTTATCCCTCTGCATGATCATCAAATGGAGACCCAGATATCCATCAAGTGGCCCTTGGAATACATGACTTAGCAGTCTTCAGTGTTGGGAACTTTGGCCACGATGATAGAGTAACACTAGTTTGTGTTCTGCTGTTTTCCACAGGGAGGTGCTGGCCAGTGAGGCCATCCTTGGCATGCCTGAGCGGGCAGACTGGAGAAGCTGCCAGACAGGGCGGGATGAAGAAATTGCTGCAGTCCAAGACTTCCGTCAAGCTTTTGAGCCCTTTGATTTTGCCCAGTCAGATTGAGTATCTGCATGGAAGTGGGAAAGCTCTCTTGAAGAACAGCTTTCCTTTGACACTTCCTGTCAAGTCATAGGAATTTTGCAGGGGTTGGAGTTCATTTTTCCTGCTGGCTAGGTCATGAAGGAAGGCCTTTTATATGACAGGAACCAGTGAATATTTCACTGAATGTTATTTATTTATGAAGCCTTGCTGGTCTATAGTTTGGGTCTCATTTTGGCTGCACTTATTGGCCTGTGGCTTCCAGAAGGCCTTCGGATTTTCTTTTGCGGCTGACCCCTCTGTTCCAGCCAGTGAGTTTAAGAGCTATGAATCCTCCTAGATTGGAGAAATAGTTTAAGTCCTCTGATATTGGAGGTAGATTTGCAGTGTGCATCACACAGTGTCCCAAGTTCTTGTGCTCTGACAGTAAATCACTGCTATCCAGGTCATGCACAAAAAGAGAAGATTAAAATCTTTGAAAGCAGTGGAAGCCTCAAATCTCTGCTGTATAAATAGAGGAGATGGTGAGAAGCTAGTGCTGGTGGCAAGCTGCTTGTGCAAAGGGAAAACCATGCACAGGCAAGGAGCATGTTAACTGTGTTTTATGAAAATAAGGGAAGTCAGATGTGCAGTGCAGACAAGCAATCACTGCTAACTCAAACTTTCTGTTCAGCTCTAAGTTTAGCTATGGTTCAGTTTTTAAATAACTATACTGAGAGAGAGGCAGAGATTATGAATCCTAATGTCAAGCAAGTTACTGGCTTAATGAACAGTCTTGGAGATTGGTTAAAAATATTTAATGGTTTGGTCAAATGAATATTTTTAATGAGAAGGTGTTATTTTAATACATGAAAACAGATAAAATATTTTCCTGTCAACTGCTGGCTAGCGTTAGCAGCTGGGAATAAAGTCATCTATACGAGCTCAGTTAAAATTTTCAACAAGTCTGTTACTTTTGAAGAAGCAATCATTATTTTTGAGGAAATTATAAGCTCATATACAGTAATAGAGTCGTATGGGGTCTGTTTCTTATGACTTATTTGGAACTTCTCAAATGTAACATAACAGCCTTTTAATTTACTTACATCTTTTTTAATATTTATTTTTTCAATAATTTCCTTGGACACCCTATTCAGCCTAGGAATCCAAACTGTAGCATCCAGTGAAGAAACGGTTCTTTCTAAATTAATTGGTTTCATTGTTGGGCTGTTCCTACTGTTAGAGCATTTTGCAAAATGGGCTCATAGGCATTGATTGGGGGTGATATGGTCACATTTCAATTAAGATAGAAGTTAAAATTATCTACTCACTGGTCTTCTCTTAATACATGGCTACAAGAGGTGGACTTTGCACAAGACTAAAAGTTTTGAACTAAAGTGCCGGAAGAAGCATACAAGTAGTCCTTAACTTATAATAGTTCATTTAGTGACTGTTCAAAGTTACAGCAGCACTGAAAAATATAGCATATGACCATTTTTCACACTTATGACCATTGCAGCATCCCCATAGTCATGTGATCCAAATTTAGACACTTGGCAACTGACATTTTGACAGCTGCATGTCATAAATGTGACCTCTTGACAAAATTGAGAAGCCAGATTCATTTTACTAACAACACAACTGCAGCAATTCATTCAGCAACTACGGCAAGAAAAGTTGTAAAACGGGGCAAAATTCACCTCACAACTATCACACTTAGCAACAGAAATTTTGGACTCAATTGTAATCATAAGTGCCTTTGTATTTCTTAGACAGCCAAGAGGCCCAGGCATTCGTTACTATAGCAACCAAGGCATTGAAAACAAGGAGACTGAAACAAAACCCTTTGCACTTTGGGCACATCCATACTGATGCCTCTGTGGAAAAGATAATACAGGTAGCCCTTGACTTACAATCACAATTGAGCCCAAAAGTTCAGTTGTTAAGTGAGACATTTATTGAGTTTTGCCCTGTTTTATGATCATTCTTGCCACAGTTAAGAGAATCATTGCAGTTGTTAAGTTAGTAACCCCGCTGTTAAGTGAATCTGGCTTCCCCGTTGACTTTGCTTGTCAGAAGGTTGTAAAAAGTGATCGCATGACCTTGAGACACAGCAATGGTCATAAACATGAGCCAGTTGCCAAGCGTCTGAATTTTGATCATAGGAGCACAGGGATGCTACAAAGGTGGTAACTGAAAAAGCTTTACAGTGCCATTGTAATTGAATGGTCACTAAATGAACTGTTACAAGTCAAGGGTTACCTGTATTGGGCGATGTGGATGTAAGGAAAACGAGGTCAGAGCATTAGGTGACCAGACGGAGTACAGAACAGGAAGTTTCAAGAGTGTACCTTTAATAATTGTGTAATGCAACAAAAAACAGGACAGTTTGAAGAACTTCTATCCATAGAGACTCCGAAGGTCAGCTACAACTCACTGAGATATAATATACAACATCCTTCCAGGAACTTGAAGAACGTTTTCATATCCCTTCCCTTGCCTTTTCCCAAGACCATTTAATTCCATCAATCCATCCTCATAGTTTTGAATCCCCAGCCATTCTTGTTGCCCTTCTTTGTATCTTTTCCAATTTATTTGAATCCTTATAGTGTGGTGCCTAGACCTGGGCACAGTATTCAAGGTGGGGTCTGATAAGTGTAGAATAAAATAGAATTACTTTCTGTTCTTTATTTGCATCAGGAAAGAAAACAGATGTACAGTTTGTTGTAATAATAGCCAAATGTGGTATTGTTATAAAAGCCTCATATCCAATCTCATGTATATACCTGCAGCACCAGGATGTGATAGCGGGGTGGACAGATCCCACATATCAGGAAATTGCTCGTTGTTGATGTCATACCAAAGGAATAAATTCTGTACATGTTGCATCTTTTCATTATTCAAATGAATTATTATGTTCCATTCAATCCCTCCTGGATTAGTTTTGTGGACAAATGTTTATCCTTGGCAATTTTCTGTCAGGATAGTATGAAGGTTCTGACAGAAGCAGCCGGTTTAGCAGCAACTCAGTGTTTGCAGTGGATTTATATATCCAAAAATATGCAATATTTTGCATAGAAATACTTCAATGTGGATGCAAGGGGGAAACTTTCAGTTCTCTGCAATATTTGCCACTGGAATCATAGCAATACATACTTACTTGATATTGATGCATAAAAATCTTATAAGGTGAAAGGACAAGCAGTCACATATACTATTCTGAATCCCATTCTAATCGAACCATTATGGGCCATTAGTTGAGCAATATTTCCCATCCACACCCTGCTTTGAAACCAAGACATGACACCACCCTGTCACCATATATTTTAATTGGGTATTTTTCCTCTTTCCTGTAAAAACAAATGTGTACAGAAGAAGTGCTAATTAGGGTTGGTTTTCTCAACTATCTTGATAGCCAGAGGGAGCATTCTGCAGTTTGAGGACATTTGTGCAGCAGGATGAAAATATTTCTAATAGTTTGGAGGATAAACTTGGTAGCCTAAGGTTGGTTGTAAAATCCAGGAATCCTGTAAGGATACCATACTCTTTGTGTTCTATTATGAAGGTCTTGAAGCCAACATGCCTATTAATCTAATCTTGAGTTTTAATTTGCGCAAGTATAAAACCAGTTTTTCAGAGTGAGCTACATTTTTGCAGTAAAAGTTCATACCTGAAGCTTAAAGCTCAAACCACAGGAGTCTGAGGCAGAGTAATTTCCAGAGCAACGGTGAAGGAAAGGTGAAATTCTTTACCAGAAAAAAAGTATGTCCCAGCAGACTTGAACAAATGAGAATGGTTTTTTTTTCTGTTTTTCCTCTTGTTCTTTTCCATTGGTATACCAACTTTACAGTTGATGCCTATTTCTAAGAAGTGGGGTAGATGTAGGGGTGGGATTCTACCAGTTCGCACCTGTTTGCTAGAACCAGTAGTTAACATTCTAAGCAGTTTAGATAACCGGTTGTTAGAAGAAATTACTGGCCTAATCCTGTAAGGAAGGCAGGAAGGAAACATTCTGGTGTTGCTTACAGAAACTGCCTCTCTGTTAACCCTTATTACATTCTTGGCAGGACTAGACTTCCTGTCTCAGGAACTTCTCTGGAGTTTTTTCCCCCTCCTTTGCTGGTACTTTGCTAGTGTGGAGTCACCATTTAAAGTTACAATGGCACTGAAAAAAGTGACTTATGACCATTTTTCACACTTACGATTGTTGCAGTATCTCTACAGTCATGAGAGGCCAGGGGAGGAGATGCGTGCCTCGATGTGAGTGATATTGAGTTGGCCACACCCAGCCAGTCACATGACCATCAAGCCATGTCCAATCAGTCACATGACCACCAAGCCATGCCCACAGAACCAGTTGTTTAAAAATTTGAATCCCACCCTTGGGTAGATGTAGTCTTTGTTTAGTGGCTGCCTCATTTAGAAACCATTTGCAGTTATGAGAGTGGTGAAAAAAGTAACTTTATGACTAATTCTTGCATTTACAACCTTAGCAGGTTTGTAAAGCAAAGGAAAGCTGAAATGAGATTGTAAGGAATAGTTCCTGACTGACAGCCTGTCATTTGGTAACCATTCACAGTCAAGATAGCCACAGAACAGTTGCTTTGCAGCCTGTAAAGTACTCACAGGCATTATAAAGCAACTGTAGATCTCCTTCCATACACATGACTGCATTTTGGGCACTTGGCAACCTGTTCGTATTTACAATGGATTGCGAAGTGCCCTCTGAACATTTGCAAACTTCTCTGCCAGCTTCAGGAGAAGCTGGCAGGAAATGCTGCAAACTGAACAAAAATATTTGAGGTTTGCTTTCCCAACATGCACCATGTAGGTAGGGGAAATCCTGTGCACTGGACAAACAGACCTCACACCTGGCAAGAATGTTAGCTAAGCCAAAGAGGAGAAGGACACTAGCAAAAGAGGTGGGTTCGAATGGGTCTAAGCCCTCGCATTCTGAAACATGGAAGTTCAGAGCCTTTCAGAATGCTGACTTTGCTAGTGTTTTTCTCTCCAAAGGAGAAAACGTTAGCAAGGACCATTGTTACCATGTAATTTGGAAAAAGGCTTCCAAACCATTACGAGAATGGAGCCAGTGTATAGGATGGAGCAAGATGATGCAAAGGTAAATGAACTTAGGCATGCTGGGGCAGGAAATGATCAGTGGGCCCGGCCACCCACCGCCTCCCAATGGACAACAGGTTTTGGTATGCAAGTGAGCAGCAGGCCTCTTACGGTCTCCCCCATTCCCCGAGGCATCCCTGCCCAGTTGCTTAACAACTGCAACAGAGCAAGCTCAGATTGTGATCCTTAAAGGAGGCTGTCACGTGGGAGTATCACTTAACCCCAATGACAGCCAAAATTCCAAACTCAATCGTGGTCATACATCAAGGACTGCCTCTAGTCATACGTTCACTGCTAGAGACTGCTTCAGTGAACAACTGAGTTGCCAGTCCCAGATGTGATCACTAATTGAGGATCATGTGTGTAATGATATACTAGATCCAAATAAACAGGAAAAATGTAATTCTTTGAAGAACCCTCCAAGCTGGTACTTCCATGCTCTCAATATATCCCTTTTACTTCATGTTGCAAATTGCCTTGGCTTGTCTGTTGTTGTTTTTTTTAATGACAGTCCTCGGAGGTTCTGCTCACACTTTTTAAAAAGGGTATTTCTCCAGTGCACCCCAATTCTCTTCACTTCTGTTTCTTGAAGAAGGTGTTGCTCATTTTGTAGCACTTGGACTCCAGAATATGAAATCACAATAACCATATATGATCCATTTAGAAGATAGTTCTCCCAACTTTTGAACAAGAAAAAAAGACCTCAAACCAAGTTCTCTGAATCTAGAGAAACACAATAGCTGCAGGAAATAACAGATCTTGGAAGTGTGTGAAAGCAAAATAAATGAGCAATGGGGTAGAACAGGGATGCATAAAGGCGAACCTATAAACCACTCATTTTAATGGAAGCAAGGTTTTGGGGGTTGTTATGCTTCCAGAAAGTCCAGTTGCCTTTTGAGGGGGAAAATAGCACCTTTGGGACAACCATGACCTGGATGACTGAGAATCTCCATAGACATTTGTGCTTCCATATGTACAGTGCCCTCGTTTTTAAGAATACAGTAAATGTAAGTTTTGTAGGAACTGCATGTATTTGCCTGAAGCTGTAGGGTCAAACTGTACATAGTCAAAGCTTTCCTGACAAAAACAGGAAACTTCCAGATGACTCTTGAGCCGGTAAAAGATTTAAGACGCATGTGCAGCAGGATCCGTTTTACTTGAATGTGTTTGGCTAACTTCATTCCACTGGATTTCTACATCTTGGGTGATGAAACAGATTTCAGTCAATTCTAAGACTTCAACTCATGCTTTGCGCGATGGAGCCTTTTGGACTTACAAGTATTCTCCTGCTCTGTGGGACCTGCCTTCTTTTCATGGCAATCCAGAGAAAGACTTCTGAAAG